TAGATTGTGGTTTCAATCCCTGGTCGGTGTGCATACAGAAAGGCAATCAAGTGGTTCTCTCTCTCTCTCTCTCTCTCTCTCTCTCTCTCTCTCTCTCTCCTGCTCTTCTCTCATCCTCTTCCCCTCTCTTTAAAATAAATAAGCATATCCTCAGGTGAGGATTAAAAAAAACTCTAATAAATTATGTATCAAATCTATGTGGTTTTATATTGCATTGAATAAAATTTTTATGTTTCCTAATTATACGTTTAAGGTGAAACATTTATTTTACAGCTTCTTTCTGTCTTTTTTTTTCAAATAGAAACTTGTATTTTGAATTATTTTTTCTCATGTGAGTATATTTATCCACAAAGTAGAGAATCTGTCTGGTAAGTTTTAAAACAAGAGATCCAAAAACAAGTCTCCAAAGTCTCTAAACTTGGAACCTGTAATTTTAAAATATTTTATATAATATAAAGACCAAATCCAGCCCAGACTGCTTTTCATAGCCTATTAGCTAAGAATTATATATACAATTTTAAATGATTTTTTAAAAAAAGAATATTTCAAGACACATGAAAATTAATATGAAGTTCAATGTCCATAAATAAAGGTTTATTAAAATACAGCCATACTCATTCATTTATCTATTATTTATGGCTGCTTTTGTACAATAATGACAGAGTTGAGTAGTTGCTTCACAGACTATATAGTCTGCAAAGCCTAAAGTATTTGCTTTCTGACCCTTTACAGAAAAAAGTTTGCCAACCCATGGTCTACACAGTATAGTATAATGTGACAAGTGTCCCAATGTATCAATATGTTGGGATAGGTTTTTTAATTGCTTCAGAGATTGTTGTTTTAGAATCTTTGTTATTATTGCCTTAAGAGAAAAAAGGTCAAATCACAAAAGAATAATAATCTTCTTTCAAATTATGTTGTAGTGTAACAAAAGAGTTCCATCTAGTGAGGAACACCTAGATATTTAACAAAAAGGAATAAAAGCATATGTCTATACACACTTGTACACAAATGTTCATAGCAGCATTATTTATAATAGCCCCAAACAGTAATATCCCAAATGTCTGTGAACCGGTGAAAGACAAAGTGTGGTCTATCCACACAATGGACTACTACTAAATAACAGAAGGAATAAAACGTTGACCACTCAACATGAATGAATCTCAAAATAATGATGCCAAGTGAAAGAAGCCAAACACTCCCCCCACCCCAAAAAAAGAGTATATACTGCATAATTCCATTTATATAAAATTCTAGAAAATGTAAACTCATCTATTATAACATAAAACAGATTGGTGACTGCTGAGGGATGAGGTTAGGTGGTAGAAAGGGGCAGAAGACTTCAGAGGTGATGGACATGTTATCTTAACTGTGGTGACAGTTTCACAGTTATATACCTATGTCAAACTTTTCAAATTGTACATTTTAAATATGTGCAATTTATTGTATGTCAATTATACCATTATAAAACTTTAAAAAATCCCATCTGTGCTCTTTTATATTAGGTAGATTTTTACTTACTAATTCAATATATTTAATAATTATAGGTCTAGTCAAGTTGTCATTCCTTTTTGAGTCAGTTTTGGTAGGTTAGCTTTATTTCTAATTTTTATTATCATTTCTTCTTTAACCTATGAGTTACTTAGAAGTGTGCTTTTAAATTTCTAAATATATAAAGTTATTTTTATCTTCTTTTGGTTTAATGTCAATCTTAACTGAATTGAAGAAGAGAACAGCCTGGCCGGTATGGCTCAAGTGGTTGAGCGCTGACCTAGAACTAAGAGGTAGCCAGTTCGATTCCAATCAGGATGCATGCCTGGGTTGAGGGCTCAATCCCTGGCAGGTGGTGTGCAGGAGGCAGCCAATTGATATTGATGTTTCTCTCTCATCAATGTTTCTATATATTGCTCCTTTCTCCCATCCTCTCTCTAAAAATCAATAAAAACATGTTTTTTTAAAAAGAAGAGAATGGCCCTAGCTAGTTTTGCTCAGTGGATAGAGTGTCGGCCTGCGGATGGAGGGGTCCTGGGTTCAAGTCCAGTCAAGGGCATGTACCTGGGTTGCAGGATCCTCCCTGGGTCGGGCCCTGGTCAGGGTGTGTTCAGGAGGCAACCAATTGATGTGTTTCCCTCACATTGATGTTTCTGTCTTTCCCTCTCTCTTCCACTCTCTCTACTAATCAGTGGAAAAATATCTTCAGGTGAGGATTAAAAATAATAATAAAAAAGAAGAGAACATAGTCTGCATAATACCCATTCATTGGATTTGTTAAGACTTGCTTTATATTTATTTATAAATTCAGTATGTGTTCAGTTTTTTTAAAACTGCTTAAAAAGAAGTATATTTTCATCCATTAGGTGCAGGGTTCTGCACAGGCCAACCAAATCAAATTTGTTGGTCATTTTGTTCAAATCTTCTCAAATTTTTTATCTGTTTGACCATCACTTACTGAGAAATATATGTTAAAATTTCTTGCTTTTGCAGATTTATCAATTTTCCCCTATAACTGCATCTATATACTTTCTCTCTGTATTCTATACAGTGGGGCCTTGACTTACGAGTGTCCCGACTAACGAGTTTTTTTGAGATACAAGCCATCTCTCGGCCAATTTTTTGCTGAGTTGCGAGCTCGAAAATATTCGGGTTACGAGCCAGCTTCAGATACCCCGCCGCTAGTTGGCGCAGCAAACGTCACAGTGATTTGACATACGAGTAATTTGAGTTATGAGCTCCATCACTGAACGAACTAAACTTGCAAGTCAAGGCCCCACTGTATTTATATACAGGGGTGGGCAAAAGTAGGTTTACTGTGCCACTGTGACATTCTTTTGAGTTAATAAAGTTATTATAATCATCATAACCTGCATGTCTTTTTCCATATAAACAACTGTAAATCTACATTTGCCACAAATGTATTTTGAGGTCATACTATTGAATACGTACTGATTTGGAATATTATAGCATCTTCATTGATTATTCCTTTTATAATTTTTTATGATAATTTTTAACTCTAATAATGATTTTTTTGCCTTCAAGTTAATCTTTCCTACTATTACCCCTGCTATACCAGTTTTCTTTTAGAATGTGTTTTTCCATACCTTTACTTTAAATCTCTTTGACTCCTTATGTTTTATTAGTTATGCCCCTTGTAAACTGCATAAAGCTGGATTACCTTCTACTCAATCTGACAATGCTCCAGTTATCTATTACTGCATAAAAAATTACCACCACCACCACCACCACCCCGCCCCCCATTACCCTGGCCAGCATGACTCAGCAGTTAGAGCACTGGCCTGCACAGCAGAGGGTCCCCAGTTCAATTCCTGATCAAGGGCACATACCTGGGTTGCAGATTCGGTACCCATTTCCAGTGGGGGCAAATATGGGAGGCAAACAACCGATGTTTCTCTCTTCCCCTCACCTCCCCCTTCCACTCTCTCTGGAAAAAAAAAAAAAATCAATGGAAAAAATATCCTCACTCCTCCAGTGAAGATTAAAAAAAAATTACCCCAAAAGTTAGTGGCAAACAATGATCATTTTATTATTGTCACGATTCTTTGGGCCAGAAATTCTAGCAGGGCAGAGCAGAGACAGTGTGTCTCTGATCCACAATGCCTGGGACCACAAATGTGATGATGACTAGAATAGATGAAGATGACTAGGATGTCTCAACAGGAGCTACGTGTCTGAGACCTCAGTTCTTCCCCAAGTGGTGTTTTCTAGAGCTGGACTGTCCAACATGGTTCCTTCACTCACATAGTTGACAGTTGATGCTGGCTGTTTGCTGGTAGCTCATTGGGGCTATCAACCAGTGCCTGCATGTGTCCTCTCCAACTGGCTTGGACTTCTCATAGCACGGTGGCTGGGTTCTGAGAGTGAGTATTCCAAAAGAGAGAATTCCAAGAGGCACAGGCAGAAGCTGCAAGGCTTCTTATGACCAAGCATCAGAAGTCCCAGAAAGTCACTCAATTGGTCAAGCAGGTCACTAAAGCCAGCCCAGATTCAAAGGGAGGAGAGAAAAGGATTCCACCTCTGAATGGCTACTTTGGAGACAAGTTACCACATACCACCCCTCTGGTCCCAACAAGTTCCTCCCACATGCAAATACACTCACCCTCTCCTAAGACCTTCAAAAGTCTCATCTCATTATGGCATCAGCTTGATGTCCAGAATCTTGATATCTAATTCAGGTCCAAGTGTGATTGAGGTTCCTTAGATGCAGTTCATCAGGTACTGCTACTGGAGTACAGTTCCTTTTGATCTGAATAAAGAGACAAATTATCTGCTCCCACACACCCAACATACAAATGTATAATAGTGAGAATGACTCAGGATAACTACAATAGACACTCATTCAAAATATGAGGAAAAGGAGGCAGGAACAGGAGACACAAAGCAGTTATCGGTCCATAGAAATTCTGAGAAAACATCCTTAAGATCCTTAAAGCCCTATTGTGTAATAATAAGGGTCTAAGAAGTGTTCCCTTAAGATCTTTGGAATCTTCTTATGTATCTGAAGGGTTCTATGAAATACTACCATAAATCTTTCTGAAGTCTTAACAAAGGAATTTACAGTTGCACCCTTGAGATATTTACTTTGAGGCCAAGCTATTATATTATTTATTAATTCTACTCTATTATAACCCTCTGAAGAATCTACTATACTTTATCCAGCTCTGGATGCACCTCCTTCCCCACCATTCCTACTCCAGCATCTAGCTCAGGATCATTATTAAATTAGACACTCAACTATATGAGTGATTTATCAAGATTGGGTTAAGCTGATAAAATTATGTCCATTAAGTTACCTAGAGTTCTGTGAGACGACCCTTTACTTCAGGCTGTTCCAAGGTTGATTCTTTGGCATTTCCTTTGATTCTGTGAATTACCCCTATTATTCTTATACTATCCCCCACCCCCACCTCATCCCACCCCTTTCCTTTTGTTCTTAAATCAATTTGCAACCAAAGAAACCTAACTGATAAAAGCTGGAATAATTTGTAATTGTTCAGTAGATATTTGCTTACTGAGCAAAATATGAATAAATGCTCTGAAAGCCAGTTAAATGTGCAATGAGAAGAAAAGGATACAGAAACAAAGAATACACTGAAACAGAAAGATATTGACTATACCTACAGTAGGTTGCTGTACCAATATAATTATCCTCATTTTGGACAACTTTCCCTATTGCTCTGGCTAAAGGCTTTGAAATCATCCTTAACTTCTCTTTTTCTTTGAAACATCAATTAAATTTATTAGCATATCCTGTTTCCTGTACTTTCAAAATATATGCAGACTCTGAACACTCTATCTTCACTGCTATCATCTGGTCCAAACTATCATCATCTTTCATTCAGTTATTGCAATAACCTTTTAACCAATCTCCTGGCTACCACCCCTGACTTTCTTCACTTTACTCTCAACCTTAGGCCAGAATGATCTTGTTAAAATTTGGGTCAGCCCTAGCCAGTGTAGCTCAGTTGGTTGGCGCATCGACCCTTATGCCAAAAAGGTGGGGTTCGATTCTGGTTAGGGTATATACCCAGGTTGTAGGTTCAATCCTCAATGAGGGCACATTTGGGAGGCAACCAATCAATGTTTCTCGTGCACCAAAAGGTCATCGGTTTGGTTCCCAGTCATTCACATCCTCAGGTTGTGGGTTCGATCATTGGGGTGTGTATGGGATCATCTTGGACCTATGTGTTTATTGCTTTCCTTTCTTTCTCTCCCATCCTCTCTCTCTCAAAATCAAAAACATTTAAAACGTTTTTTAAATAAAGAGCACTCAGAACTCACTGAGGTAAATTCTAATTCCTAGGTGGCTGTACAGGGCAAGGGCTTTCGGGTTTCAGTTGCAACTTTGTACAAGAGATGGAGAGATTTATAAACCTCTTCCTCACTGACTTTTTTCCTAAAGTAAAAACTAAGAAATTATACCCTGGCGTCATCCTGTACACTGAAAGGTTGCAGGTTCGATTCCCAGTCAGGGTACATAACTAGATTGTGGTTTCAATCCCTGGTCGGTGTGCATACAGAAAGGCAATCAAGTGGTTCTCTCTCTCTCTCTCTCTCTCTCTCTCTCTATCTCTCCTGCTCTTCTCTCATCCTCTTCCCCTCTCTTTAAAATAAATAAGCATATCCTCAGGTGAGGATTAAAAAAAACTCTAATAAATTATGTATCAAATCTATGTGGTTTTATATTGCATTGAATAAAATTTTTATGTTTCCTAATTATACGTTTAAGGTGA